CCCGGCCCGTGTGCTCTGTAGCTGGGGTGTTTATTAATTTGCGGGCTCCGTGACCTCATTACTGCTACGTGAAAAAGCAAGGGTGGTTTCAGTGGGTTCTGCAGGGAGGTTTGCACCCGCTGCCTCTCCCAACCTGTGGCGTGAGGACATTTGGGTGACGTGACCTTTTAGACATCGGTCCCTCACCCCGGCCGCTCTCTCCCTTCTCCACGCAGAGACGTGTGCTGTGAACAACGGGGGCTGCGACAGCAAGTGTCACGACGCGGCCACGGGTGTGCACTGCAGCTGCCCCATGGGCTTCATGCTCCAGCCCGACAGGAAGACGTGCAAAGGTAGGAGGATGCGAGCGGGGCCGGGGTGTTCGCTGCTCACCCCTGGGTGCCTCAGGATCCCCCTTGTGTCCTAAGTGCCCTTAGGAAAGGTTCAGTTTTGGCTCAGCTCGACGTTGCCCGCAGCGTTTGCTTGCTTGGTGTTTGCATCCGTGGCGTGGGGATGGGGATCGCCCCCAGGCGCGGGAACTCAGCCGCCTTGCTGAAGGCACCATGGTTGGCCCCACTCCCCCGGGAAGCCCATGGGGAAGAGGAAAGGGGGGGCAGGTCAAGTTGGAGGCAGTGGCGTGGCACTTGTGGGGCTGGAGGGTCCCGTACCGCCTCGCTCCACCCTGCTGCCTCAGTTTCCCCATGGGTAGGGGCTGGGCGTGCAGGAAATCCACACCCGCTCAGGGAATTTGCGGGGCACGAGCCCCTCCGTGGTTGCTGTCTGGCCGGGTCCAAGCACTGAATCCCTCCTGGGGGAGGGCACCACGGGATGCCGCGTGTCTCCGCACGCTCCCACCGACATCCCCATCCACCTGCCTCTGCGCAGGGGCCCAGTCCAGACTGGTTACCCCAAATCCACCCCCCTCCCTGGGCAAGGGGACACTGTGACCCCAGGGCCAGCCGGCGCCTGCGTTGTGTCTTTCAGCAGCTCCAGGAACTTGACCCCGCTTGAAAGGAAAGCCCATCCCATTGCGAGCTGCCTGTCTACCTGCTGACTGCTTCCAGAAACCTTCTGCCCCCTGTTATTTTATCAGAGCATCCCCCCCCCACCCCGCCTTTCTCCAATTCTGCAGTTTCCAGGAACGTGCAATAACCCAGAGCCACGTCCCCTGCGTCTGGGGGTTTTATTACGGCTGCGGGCTGGTGTACAGCTTGCTCCCTCGCAGTCGTAAAAAGAAAACCCCAGTCCCAGAGAGGCAGAGCTGCCGCCCCGGCGCTGGGGGATGGAGGGACAGGGAAGGCGGCTGCCCCTTCCTGGTCTCCTTCCATTTTACAGGTTGTTTCCTAGCAGTAAATTTTGTGATTAGCGGAAAAAAAGGGGGGGAAAAAAAAAAAAAAAAAAAAAAAAGCAACCAAAAAACCAAGTCCCAGCCTCTGTCCAGGTTGTTGGGGTTCTTTGCAGTTATTGTGCATCGTCATTTTTAGCTTCGTTTACGGCAGGAAGGAGATGGCGAGCAGAGAGGTGAGGGTTGGAAAGCATTGACGTTGTCGAGCGGCTGGTTTTGAAGGAGGGGTTTCCCCTCCCGGCTTGCTCTTTCTTCCTGCTGCTCCTGGTCCCCAAAATTAGCACCCAGCCCAAACTCGTGACTTTGCAGACTCTGACCTGGTGCTTTTCCCCAGCTGCGAGGCTGTTTCAGAGACCCTGGCTCCTGCCTCTGCTCCGGGGAATGCTGTGACCTGCAGAAATGAAACGTTTTGCACAACTCCCAAGGGGAGCCGAGCCCAGGAGCCTTCCCCAGTGTCCCCAGTGTCATGCATCAGCTCCCCAAATGCACCCAGATAAAACCAGCAGCCACATTCCCCCAGTGACCATCAGAGCCCAAAGGGTTCCCTCCGCTTGCCGGCTCCTGGTGGGGATGGGGTCCGGAGGAGGGGAGGACCCCGCTCTCCCGGCCGAGCATCCCAGCCGGGGTGTGACGCGTGTCCTCTGTCCCCGCCAGACATCGACGAGTGCCGGCTCAACAACGGCGGCTGCGACCACATCTGCAGGAACACGGTGGGCAGCTTTGAGTGCAGCTGCAAGAAGGGCTACAAGCTGCTCATCAACGAGAGGAACTGCCAAGGGAAGGGGCAGCGGGACCCCCGCACCCTGCCCTGCCCGGGGCCGCCGCCGCTCCCTGCCCTCCGGCGTTTCCCAGCCCTCCCATGGCTGCTGCTGGAGGAGCGCTGGCCCGGTCACTCATTCCTCTTTGCTTTCCTCTGGACCGCGTGCATCCTTTTGGGGGATTAGTGTTAGATTTGGGTTCTGGTCTGGGGCTGAGCGCTTTGATCTGCAGGGCTGGGCTGCTGTCCCAGCCCCGCTCCCACGCTGGGGATTTCTGGGTGGTTCTCGCAGCAGAGTTAAAGCCAGCAATGAGGCAGATGCCCGGTGAAATCCTGCGGCTTACTCAGGGCTGGGATGACGGTCACGACATTCCCCACAGCCCCGTGGGCTGGGACGTGGCTCTGCCCGGGCGCAGGGAGCATCCCCGCCAGCAGCCCTGGCAGCGAGCACGTCCCGAGCCTGGGGCTGTTGGCTCTGCTCCGGAGCACCCGTGCCAGGGGACTGGGGACCCCAGCAGCACCCCACGTGTCCTGGGAGGGTACCCTGAGCTCAGCACCCACCCTGACACATCTGGGCTTCTCCCAAGCTGCTCCGCTTTATTGCACAAAGTTTTTGCTAGTGATCCCGCAGCACCACGATCGCAGGTCCCTGCTAAAGCACGCGCACTGACGCACCGGCTGCTTCCTCCCCTCTCGAGAGGCCACCGTTTTCCTGGGGCAGGGGATGGGAAGAGCAGCGGGATGTGTCCTGCCTTGCCTGCCCCCCTCTGCCAGCCGCCTCATGGCAGGGGTTGGATCGTGGCCTGCTCAGGGACGTGACGTTTTTGTGAGCCATCAAGGCAGAGCAAGGATTTCAGTGGCCTTTGCAAAAGGATTCCTCCTTCCCCCATCTGTCAGAGGGCAGGAGGGGAGGGGGAAGATGCATCCTGCTCGCTCCGGAGGGAGCTGCCTGCTCCACACTGCTTTCCCCACCTTTTTCTCCCTGTCCCAACACCCTCCTGCATATCCCACATAAACCCAGCAGGTTTAAAGGACCCAGCAGGTCGCTGGGCTGTCCCGGGGGAGCACAGGGCTCTCCCCCCCCAGCCCGTGGCATGGCAGGAGTGCGTGAGCCCAAGCACTGCTCCGAAAGCGCATGGCTGGGGAAGGAGGGGGCTGGCACACTCTGGCGCTGCGGGCACTTTCCACTCCCGTCCGAGCGTGGCAATGAACTTAATGAAGCCAATGAAATGATGCTCGAACCCGCCAGGTTGGGTTCACCCACCCAGCTGGGACCTCCCTGCCCCGGCAAGGTGCCCCACGGGGGCAAGCAGACATCGCTGCCCCCGCCCCCGGGGCAGGACCTGCCTGCGCAGCATCGCTCCCTGGCACGGGGCAGAGCCCTGGCCGGGCAGCAGCCAAGGGCTCTTGCAGCCACCCCATGCCAAAGGCACGGTGCCAGCCCTCTTTGGCCCCTTTGGAGTGCAGAGGGGCTGCAGGAACTTGGGGCAAGGGGAGATGCTGGTGCGGTGGGATGCTGCTCCCATGTAGGAGCAGCTGGATCCGGCAAGGAGGGAGCTTGGAGGGAGGCAGGGTGGGAGCACAGAGTCCCGGAGCGTCCCAGTGCAGCGTCCCAGTGCAGCGTCCCAGTGCAGCGTCCCAGAGCATCCCAGTGCAGAATCCCACAGTATCCCATTGCAGCCCCCAGCTTGCTGGAGCGATTGGAGCAGGAAGGGGACAGCCCTGGTACCGGGGGCTGCCCCTCCACCACGCCAGCCCTCACCTCTCCCCCTTGCCTTTCCTCCAGACATCGATGAGTGCTCCTTCGACCGGACCTGCGACCACCTCTGCATCAACACCCCCGGCAGCTTCCAGTGCCTCTGCAACAAGGGCTACACGCTGTACGGGCTCACCCACTGCGGAGGTAGGGCTGGCGGGATGCAGGCAGGAGGACCCCATCACCCCACCGGGTTCGGGTCCCGGGGAGGCACACGGGGCACCCAGGGATGGGGCAGCCCCATGGTGCGGTGGCTGCGGGACCCCTGGGGATACCGCTCGCCCCAGGGGCTCACGGGGAGGGTCGGTTCCATGCGTACCCCAAGCTGGGGCCAGGCAGGGAGGGGTCGCGCAGCCAGACACTGGTGTCTGCAACTTCAAACGGAGCGACAGGAACCATTTGCGACTTGTCTGCAGCGGGAGAGAGGGAGAAATCCCCGGCGTTTTTGGCAGGGAGCTGGGATGGGGTGGGAAGGGGAACTTCAAACCCCACAGCTCCCTGCCTGCGATGAATAAAGCATCCTCTAATGCGGGGACAGGGCTGTCCTCGCTCCCCTCTCTACCTTAGATGTGGACAGCCAGGGTGTAAGAGCAGGTTGTTGCAAGGTGGGAGGCTTGTGCTGGGGTTTGGATGGCGAACCAGGAAACCCAGGTGCTTTTTCCTGCCTTAGCGCTGCCTGCGACCGGGGGTGAATCACAGGCGCCCTTATTTCACCTCCAAAATCCCCGGGGAGCAGTACCCGGGTGCGTGGCGGAGTGATGGGAAAGGCAACGAGCGCCGGCTCATCTGTAGAGGCGGAAGGTGCTGGGGGAGCACTGAATGTTAATGCCTTCCCCCCCCCCGCCCCGGCCCTTGTGCTCTGTA